AAATACTGAGGTTTTGGGAAATGTAATGCAAAAAAATGCCCACCACTTCATGTGCTGAAGCCATGAAAGGTGAAACGTGAAAACTGTGCATTACAAAGCGACAAGAAATCAATACACGTGAAATGTGGAAACAACGTATTCTAGCCAATTCTTCACACTCATAACGATTTGAATAAAAAATCAAGAAATTATGCAACCAAAAATACCCATCTTCCTCATCCTGAAAATACGCTGTCCACTCATTCAAAATTTGGAAATATATGCTTTTCGAGCTTGAATATGGCGGAAAGACCAACACTGACTATATGAATATGATGAATTTCAAAAATTGATGCGCGCTGGTCACGCGCCATCAGTTGGTGTCCAGCGCAAAAACATAATTCTGGACGGCTTCTTCCCTATGTCAGCTTTCTGTTCTACGTCCTACAAAGGTATCAAACTATTACGAAATTCGAGCTTGATGTACTTCTCTCTATACTTCCATTTTAACTCCTGCAACGAATGAAACTATGGTGTTGGCAAGATTCCAGGCAACTTTTGCCTTCTGAAAACTAAGTTTTGCGAAGGTAATTTCAGGACTTCCGAAGATTCTTTCTACTTCATTTCTTTCTTATGTGAGAGCAAAAAGCTGACCAGAAATTACAGAGTGTATACTTGGATGTTCCTTCATCGGAAGGACGAAATTTACTGCTCATTTTCAGGGAATATCACACCTATCTGACTCATTCTGATGAGGTTACCAGGCTACGTTAGAAGACTAAGTTTTGTTCTGTTACAAGAATGTATCCTAGACTTGTTGTTTTTTTTTTAAGTTTGCTCACTTTGAGCGTCCATTACTTTCTTTCGAACCTAGCTGGTGCTTATTCAGAATTAATTTTTGCCTACGACCCACAGACCGCTTCGATCTGAAAATGCAGACGGGCTGAGTTTTTACAGTGCTGCATGTCGCAACCACGAACAAACGCTTTTGATTGGGGAATTGGTCACAGCTCCCCTAAAGTTCCCTCACTGGGATTCTCCTTTCTACACTTAACTTGCTGTAAACAGTAGTAGTTGCCAACGCTTGCAGTGCTAAATCAAGGACTGTATACTTTGGGTACGTAGCGCATGATGATGATGTTAGAATCATATTTGATAACCCTTTATTCAGTTGAATCCCCAAACACTAAAATTGAGTGAATACTGGAGACGAGACGATACTGGTATATAAAGCGTCACTGAACACACGTTCATTAACCTGTATAATATTTCTGTAACACAAATTAACTTATAATGGAGAGAAGCGCTGGTCGCTCGGACCGCTGGCTTCTCTCAGTGTAATAACAAAGAGGTAACAAAAAATTGATGCAAACGAATAAACTAAGTAAATTTGAGACCAACAGAGAACTCAATAAAACTCCAGACAAAGGCTAATGCTGCTCTTGGGCACAAAAGGAAAGATTTCAAGAAAGGAGAAAAGATCATTAGATTTATCGTTTGATTTTAGCTTGAATCGTCATACTCAATCGTTTCCTACTTGCTGTTTCATACTGATAATATCGGCAACGGTCTACGACTATACAAATACATAAAGGAACCTCTCCGCTCGACTATGGTTGGTAGTATTCCCCAAAGATTGAGGTCTCTAGAGGAAATTTCAATGAGAATATTCATACTTATGAAGAATTATTATCTACCTCAGCGATTTCGGCGAAGAAGAGAATTAAGGTGGTCTACTGGTTAGGTATAGCTCTCCCGCCAAATGTAAGGATAAGCACCAGACATGATGGAAGGAAATACGATGCCAGATTGCTATTCTACATTTCGTATGGGGAAGGGATATCAGAATAACGATAGGGTAAGAGCTGCGGGAGCATATTTTTGGAGGGTGGAGATGGAAATGAGGATGGAAAAAGAAACGAGCAGTGCTCAACTGTATAAAAGCGGAATGAAAAGTGGTGGAGCGAATAAAGTTGGATGGACAGGAGGAGCTTTGGTTGGAAGGGCCGATGGACAAAAACCAACTGGATTTGGCGGTGAGAAGAGCCTCGAGGCTGATGAAAAATTGCGATGTAAGGGGAACCGTTCTTTATCGGGATATGGACAACACGGATGAGTCTATTTTCCACGATTACACAGACAGGTGAATCGTGGCCGCTTTCCAAAATAGAATAAACTACGTAAGAAGGACCATCCTGATGAAATTCATGGGCCTTGAAGAAGGCGGAGAGCTAGAGTTATTTTCGTTTCCAACGGAGATTCCAGATTTTTCTGAGGAAATTTTATTAAAGGCACGAGGAAGGGGAGTGACTGTTTCAATTGAGCAAGGAAATATAGTCAGTTTGATCGAAAAAGCAGACAAAGAGATGTAGTACAGGCACCTGTGGGTACAGGAGAGACGTGCGTTATTTCTCTATATATAGTAGATGAGGGGGGTCTGTTGCCGGAAATGTCTCTCTTCTCTCTGGTAGCCAATGCGCCACATATTAAGGAAGTTCTGGTAACAACCACCACCCTATGGCGGAACAATAACAGAAAAGGTAATTTGCTTAGGCCACGAAGAAGCTGTTCATAACCTCACGTCTTATGAATCCGTCCCCCATATAGGCGTCGTCATTTCCAATTTGTGTTAAATTCTTTTTGCGGCGGGGCGCGAGCTATAGTAGGCGGGTTGGCCGGCAATTTCATTATAACTGGTGACCAACGTTCAATTAGGGCATTGTTTACCTGGTTTCTTTCTGGAAATCTGCGGGATTTTTTTGACAGCGTTCGATTCGTCAGATTTGTAGCTATCGATCTATTGCTATGTCATGCTGATCTGTAGCTTCATCATCGAGGTATTTGCCGGAATGCGACCTTGCAGCTGATTCCAAAATTACTATTTTTCTGTTACTTTGGAGTCAAAATTCAGATAGTTAGAAACACAGAATTTTTTTGGCTTTTTGCATATAGATTCCTTGAAGTGCTTTTTTAAAGGAAATGGATTTTTATAGGGAGGTTTGCAGAGCTTTTTTTTTTGCAAAATTTTTTTTATAGAGGGAAGTTTTAACGCAGTCGGCTCGTATGCAGCAATGAGAAAAATATTGCAGAAATAAATGAAGTTATGAAGGATTAATAAACAAGAAAAGGGCAATTTGCAACAACATACAATCTCTCCCGTTAACGGTTCATGAAACTCAAACACAACTCTGAAAAATAATTGTGAGTAGTAGACAATTACCGTCAAAGAAGAAGTATGAGAGAAAGTAAGGCAGTAAAACTGAAGGAAATTAAAACAATAGAGAAAGCAGTAATAACTTATGAAGAACAATTACTGATTTTAACAAGTCAAAAATCACAGTTCCTCAGCCTTAAGCGGTATGTTTTTCAGTATTTACCGATACCAAAAAAAACTACCCACTGCAAAACTGTGACTGTTTACCCACTATCGCACCTTGAACTGGCAGCTGAAACACCACTGCAACCGTTATGAATAAAAGGACAAAATAAGAAAAGAATTTTACACATCATTCTTCTGCACATTTCCCACTAACTTATCCGATATGTCTCCCTTTCTTGCATGTTTCCTTTTCGTTCCTGAAACAGCACTTTTACAGTAACATTTTTTGAACCTTCTGCAGTTGTTGAATAATCCGGTTTTTTTAGCTATTTTATTCAAAATGTTTTTTTTCTTTGAAAAAGCTCGACAAACCCTATTTTTTTTAAAAATATTCATTATCTACGATACATAGCCATTACAATAACAACAAAATTAACAAATTTCTGTGGATATGAACAACATTATGACAGTAAATAAGTTCACAAGTAGCTGTTCAGATAAACGTCCTACCCACTCCACTAAAACTTCCATTCCCAACAATTTTGCATACCTTTTTAATTTTTTTGAAATTTTTACTTA